ACATATACTATCAGTAAACAGCCATTTCCTGCAGAGAACCAGCAAGTGTCAGGGACTCACATCAAAATGGAAACATTAAATCATTCATGGGCCGGACGATGTTATGAAGGTACCAATAACCATAATAACCACAATCATTGGTAATTCTGAATGAGAGCCATGTCAGAATGATCGCATTAATAACCATTTGGAGTGATCACAGCCCTCGATGTATGAACGCTGAAGCCCCGCTCTGCATCCAGACCTGCTCGGGCCGAGCCGGGCCACTGATACCGGACGCGAACCACGAGCAGCTTCTACAGCCTGCGGAGACTTTCTGGGATTCTCAAGACTTTTTACGTTTTGGCGCTTCTGGAGGCTTTTGGGGCTTTTTTGGTGTGATTTGCAGTTTCTACTTAAGTGGCTCACAGCCTGCCGAGTCTTTCACCCGGTGAGCCTCATGTAGCTTACTTCTGGTATCTGTAACATGTTACTATATCCAAGAATGTCGAAAGCAAAAAACTGTCAAACATGCATGTCTTACACGCTAGTATTGTGTTGATGTTGCGAGCTGTTGCAGGCTGCTGCCTGTCCGCCCACCTTCTGATCTGCTGAAGCTGTCACATCGTGGTTAAGAATACGCTGAGTATCGCGCTTCTACTCTGACGACTAGTCTTTGAGATTCTCCTCCTGGACAGGCTGGCCTGCGGTAGATATTGATACGACCAATATTTGCCTGCCGAGGGGACCTAAATGCTACTTACACAGATCAGCTTTTCCCCAAGTCTGGCATTGATCGAGCAAGTCTGTACACAATCGGCTTTCTGGCGGCTGTGGCGCCGAAAAGGAAGAAGACCGATACAGGCGTGACCCTGTCCCAAATGGTTGCTGAAGGCACTCAGATATGATTGTTCACATTATCTTCCGAGATATCTGGATGCATCGAGCGCATTGGTCCGCAGCGCTGACAGGCTGCGGAAACAGCCTTGCAGGGTGACGATTCGGTCCTAAATGTTCGCGGTGGGTTGAAAGTTTCTCACGCAGTGCCTGTTCTCGCAGCCTACAATGGCTCTTCTGATGCATCGTGAGGGTAGACCCCATGTGTTGCTTCGACGCATGAAAGGATACCTGGGGACTCTGAAATGTGTTTCGGAAAAAACGATATTGCCTCCAGCGGTAATGACCCTCGTATGCAGGTTCCAAGATGGCAGCCACTATTCGTTGCGATAGATGCGGCCAAGCAGCATTCACTCCGGAATGGAGGAGAGTGAGATCATTCCTAAGAGCGCAGTTAGGGCTTCCGGAGTTTGAAACAACATTGACTGTGTTACGAGTACCTGCCTGACACATTCTCATGCATCTCTCGCCCACAAACGCTTGCAAAGTGTCGACGTCGCTTCACGATGGAAGGCCGCACCAGCTGCGTCTGAAACTGACTGAGCCTGAACTGCCCAAGACAAGCTGGCCCCGGGGTTGTTGCAAAGCAAGTGTGATCCGGGGAACTCAGAGTTGGCAAATTGCTGCGTCCAAATCTCGCATGCCTATGCGAGGCCCTCGCCTGAAACCGCGGACGGCAAGGCGCTGGCGAGCAGCCGACCCTGCCTAGAACAAAGGGGTGCTTGCGGCTTTCGAGTGCTGGATGTGGCTTGCTGCCTTCTTTTGACTTCAAGGAGCAAGCCGAGCCTTCTGCACCTCCGGCACATCGTGTTCGTGGATGGCCACCGACAGAGCTTGGACCTTGACAGCTGTTTGATCAAATGTTGGGCAGGCCTTTCGGCTCCAAGTTGGTCCAACTCGGCCCTGACTTCGTCCGAGCACAAAGCTGCACGCGCTCCTCTGCTGAGGCTCTCGCCATTTCCATCCACCTGAGACGCTTGCATGGTGGTCGTGCAAATATTGAAAGCCTCAACGGTCTCAACAGTTGCAAGCTTCTTCCATGAGGACCCCAAAAACAGGCGAAGTCGCACGTGGCTGCTACTTCTCATTCGCCTCCTAGTCCTCGCAGCTCATCTTCCGCTAGCTCTAGTCTTGCCAAACCTGAACACCCAACCCACCCCCCCCCCCATTAAAAACGCCAAAACCATAAACCGAAAACAAGCCCTGCAGTGCAAACCCCGAAGCCCCCCGCCGTCAAAAACCCAAAGCTGAACTCCCTAACCCCTAAACCCCCAACCCCTAACCCCTAATCCCAAAACCCTAACCCCTAAACCCTAACCCCTAAACCCCCAACCCCTAAACCCTAATCCCTAAACCCCTTCTTGCTTTCAAAAGGGCAGCAGCACATCGCTTCGGACTGTGGAGGCCAGCTCCCGCAGAACCCAGCAGCCGGCCTCCTGGACCTGCTCTGCGGCGGGTTTCAGGATGCTTCAGGCTGTCGAAGGGTGTAGGGTTTAGGGTTTAGGGTTTAGGAATATGTACTGAATAAGGATGTTTCAGGCTGTCGAATATATACTGAATAAAGAAAGTAAGTAAAGATTGACAAATAAGTCGGCTTAGGGTTTAGTGTTTAGAGTTTCTGAATAAAGTAAGTAAGTAAGTAAGTAAGTAAGTATATATATATATATATATACATATATATATATATACATATATATATATATACATATGTATGGTACCCCCCCCAATACCTAGGTTGTGTCCTGTTCAAGTCAGCCGCCTTGTCCCCAACAGGTATTCGTCCCTTGGTTGTTGCGTCTCTGAGAAAGCAAGTCTTTGTTTACAATACTTCTGGCTCCCAAGGCTTCTAAATTTAGGATTTACTGGATTTTTGGCAACTCAGGGTTCACTATGGTTTTTGCTCCCAAGGCTTCTCAAAATTTATGGAGATGTCGGTAACCAACCTTTTCCATGATTTGTCTGTCGGGAATCATGGAAAATGTTGGTTTTACCAACAACTCCCATGATTCGGGAAACTATGGCTCCGGCTCCCGAGGTTTCTCCAAAGTCATGGAAATTGTTGGAAATGTTGGTGAAACCAATATTTTCTATGATTCGTCTGTGGGGATTCATGGAAGATGTTGGGTTTACCGGAAACTATGGCTCCGGCTCCCGCGGTTTCTCCAAATTCATGGAAATGGTTGAAACTGTCGGATTCACTAACATATTCCTCCAGTACATTAACATTTCAATTCGGTGTTACCGAAATTTGTGATTGAGCCCATCTTACGTACTCATGCGATGTGTGTTTGCTTAATGGACCGGTAAGGTATTCGCATCCTTGATTGAACTACGTAGTTTGTCCACACGAAACTACGCAATAATCTCTTCTTGAAGACGTTACTGTGCGAACACCACCTCATGGTTTTTCTGCTGCTTATCACTCAGAGAGTTTACCGTCATGTCTTCAAACCTTTACTAAGGAAACCATTGCTGTACACACATGAACATGCTGGTTGAATCACACAAGCTTTGTCTATGGTATTTACTTGTGTGATATGTTGCTTGGTGTTTGCATGGGGGCTTCAGTCGTTGTGTTTGTGCATTCTTGGTTCACCTTGATGTGCTTACAAGACGATGATTCGCAGCAGAATTCTGACATACATCATGGTCATACAAATGGTCGTCATTCGGTAGGTGCAAAATTCCGAGAAACGAAGTTGAAAAGACCACAACTCCTGGTCCGACCAATAAAATGCACAGGACTTGTATTCTGCAAACACATAAGTCATAAGATGACTTAAACTCAGACTAAACATGTCTCGAAAGTAACTGGACCTGAGAAAGGGAAAGCCTCCAGGAGGCCAGGCCCACGATGCATGGTTTAGGGTTTAGGGTTTAGGGTTAATACGGCATCCCAGCCACTCTATCATTATCCGATCAGCCCTACACCCGCCCAGCCATCAAACTACGACTCAACCCCGGCCTTGGCGACGGAACTTTGTGACTTCATCGCCGCGAGCGTCGCACGCAAAGCTCCCTGCCGTGCCAATTCTTGCCTGTTGCATCGGATGAGTCGGCAAGCTACGGAGATTGGATGTAGGCTGCTGGAACTAATCACGAAAGGACGACCAGCATGGACATGGACGGTGATGAACCTGCGAGCAAGGACCGGGCCGGAGCAAGGACAAAGGATGAGCCTCTCTCGGCACTCGGCTTCTTTTGGACATCCGCAGAATAACTACACAATGGGTTTTTTTGTTGCGATTTACACATGGAAACTGCATGGCCTAACTCAGACCGACAACATCCGACAACCGAATGTCCACCCTCTGGCTCAGCCAAAAACGCAGCTTTTACCGAAATTCTCAATACGTTCATACTACACGCACAAAGCGGATCATGCTGCCGAGCTTCTGGAGAGTTGGCTTTCGCACTGAGAGGCAAAAGAGAGCCCAGCAGCAAGCACATTGCAATGCAGCATCCTGCACGTAGCACTCTGGGAAACTGTGGGTCTGGATGTGGCTGGCTTGCCTCTCTGCCGAGGGTGGAGCTAGGTAGTGCACGTGCAAACCCTGTTTCGTCGGAGCTGGGTCTGGACTGTTTTGGGCATTTTATGGGTCCTTCGTATGTTGCGCCATGGCTTGCAGCACTCTCTGACCAGCGCCCAGGGCAGCCTCGACTTGAAACACTTTCCAGCACAGGAGACAAGAGAATGCACACAAGACGTAGACAAGAGTAGACAAGCAAGTTCGGTTGATGCGGTCGATACAACGACTGGTTCGAGAATCTGGTGCGTTCCAAGACGATGGACGCTACTTGGTTGAGAGCAGCAATGTCAGTTGCTGAGCGGGGAGGGGGTCGGTTCAGCACTCATCATCGGCAGTGGTGATCGTGCTGGTGTCAGAAACTTTGGTTGGACTGATGTGTCGCAGAGACTGCAGCATGCCTCCATCCGTTTCCTGAACAAGAGTCGCTCACTACCCTGTAATAACAAGTAAAGCTGCAGCTAAAAACTTGTAGTGTCACTCCCCGTAAGAAGCTAAAGGCTTGTCCGAGTGGCAAGGTGTGATTGGCAAGCGTCGCTTGTGGCACTTGAGTTCCGCAGAACCCCGCAGGCCGCGATCTGCAACAGCGGGATCTAAGAGCACATGAGAGCGCCAACGCTGCACTGCAAGCCTGACATGGCCTGTGGCACTCACCCCTGAAAGATATCCGAATTCAGATGCTGCCCACCTGTACTCTCCCATGTTGCACGTGGTTCTTCATGGCGTTGATTACCATCTCCAGTGCTGACTCCTCCAAAACAGACAGCGAAATGAAGTGGTGCAGGGGGCTTTTCAGTATGCATGACACGGCCTTGAGGAGATGCTCGCGCATTTGCGCCTCTGATGCTACATGCAGAAGCAGCTACGCACAACTGCTGAACAAAAGGCATTCACCCTGCTAGAAGCCAGTCAGTCGAATGCTCTGCCAAGCAGCATTCATGGCTGCCAGCTCCTGCAACGAAGCTTGTCAGGTCGTGATCAGGGGCCGTCGAGCATTCATGAGTTCAGCCCCAAAAAAGTCGAATCTAAAGCCTAGCCCCTCCTTGAGAATCTTGCAGCAGCTCTCTTGCACATCTGCGGAGGCGGAACAACGCCGCATCGCCTGGAGAGCGATCTTTCTATAAGGTTCGTCTAAACCCCCGAGCCCAGCAGCCTGACAGCGGACCCTTTAGACTTTCGAATCTCTCCTCTACAACTTAGTTTTCTCGAGTAACACCTAACGAAGCCACGCCTCCAGCAACGTTGGTATGCCGCCGCAAGCAAAGATCAAGGATCGGCCTGCCGCCGCTTTCGGGTGTCAGGGGATTCCGGTTACATAGCGTTTAGCAAACCACCATTATGGCGTGTTTGGTGTAACCACTGGTGCAACTTGTCTAGTTCAAACAATGTACATCTTCAGCACGAATCTGTCTAGACTTGCCTACTCAAATACGTATGCGGGGCAAGTGGGACACCTGGCAAGTGTGTGCGTGTGTGTGTGTGTCGCCATATGTGTACCGTTGCTGTCAAGCCAATATGTTGCTGATCTTGCCACTAACTGTCGACACTGGCTGCTTCTGCTGCTATTGTTCCAGCTCCCATCGGGTCCTGTCCTCCTGCTCCTACTTGTACGACTACTACCACCAACGTACTACGATGCATACTGACAACATTTGCTGCTATCGCAACCAGTACTGCCTGCCACTACTACCACTACTACTACTACTACTACTACTACTACTACTACTACTGCGTGAGGGTTTGATCTTGATATACTGTATGTTCGCTCGCCTCACCGAGCTTCTTGTTGAAGTTGTGGTTGCCTATACACACGCACTGAGTGACGTTACCCGAGCAGGCACCTTCAGGTCTCTTTTCGCTTCCTCGCGATACAGCTGAAGTGTCTGTGCAAGGGGCGATACACGCAATTGCAGATATCCGGAGACAAGCTAAGATAGTGTTCTACCTGTGTCCTCTGCCTCGTGCTCTTCGAGCTCGTGGCTTCGGTTTGACCTTTGACTTGAGCCAAACATTCGCCGGAGTAGGTCTCATAGCCGATCGGCCAACATGGTTGTCCAAGACAGCCCATGTGGCATATCAACATGGTCGTCCAAGACGGCCCATGTGATGTATGTTAACATTGCACTAGGCATCGAGGTCTCTTCACACCCCCCATGAGTGAGGCTTTCAGCTTCGCTCACGAAAAGAAGAGAGTAGTGAGACCTGAAAAGAAAGAAATCTCAAAGGCGATGTTGGTCTATTGCGTGTAGAAATGCCCAGTTAAGCGCTGCGTGAAAACGTGACTACGTTGGGTGCGATCCCCGGCTTCGGTGAAAAGTGAAGGGAAGCACTCAAAGAAATATGCGCGAAATGTGGCGCAATGAGTCATGTTTCTCATAGCGAAGAAGTAACCGATGAATGCGACAATGTGCAGGTAGTCCGTCAGTTGTGCCACCGATTATCGTAGGCACGCTGATTACGCTGCCATCGATCGCGTCGTGGATGTTGTGGAGGAGGAGCGGGCTCTTCGGCTTCTTCATCACGTCGGCGACGTTGACGGTGTCCTCGAGCTGCTTCAAGGTCCGCGGCTTCCGTAGAGGTGACAGGAGTATCCATGATCCTGTTTGGTAACTCTGGGATGTTCGCCGGCAAGTGCGCCAAGTCGGCTGGATTTCTGGAATTACCAGCTGACTGCCGTGTGGCAATAATGCGTTGGCGGAACGATGCTGGTAGCTGAATGCCGCTGTCGATCAAGAGTGCAAGTAGCTCCACCGGGATTTGTTTGCTACCCATCATCTGTGCAATACCGCAAGGGTCGATGCATAGGACGTGGTCGGTAGTCGTGCTGACGTTAGGACGCAGCATTGTGAAGTTGTTGTACCCAGTGACTTTGCCGACGACTTTCTGCAGCAACGCATAACAGCTTAAATGCATCTGGGGTGCAGTGAGTTGTTGGTTTGCACGTAGGTGGTTGGCGGGGTTGAACCGCTCTCTTCCCATTCCCAGCTGCGATGCTCCCCTCATGAGTTTGGAAATCAACTGATTAGTTCGAAATTTGATGAGCAGGAATTCGCCATCAGGATCCTCGTCCATACGTTTGCTTCGACCATAGGCGAGAACCTGTTCATCATGGACATCTCTAGATAGCAACGTGTCAGGGTCCACTTCGGAAAGAGCCGGGCCCCAGTTGCCGAGAGCGTCGTGGCGGCTGCCTCGTTCGAACAATTGTACCATGCCCTGTCGTGGGAGGTCCAATCACTTCATGTTTGCCCGCCAGTTCTTGTAGATGTAGCTGCATATGACATAGGCCATGTAGCGTGCCAAGATCAGATTGGGGTCCACGGCACATGCTTTGTCCACTTGGATGTAGATGGGAACTTGCAAGTTGGCCCTTGCGTGTTCTAGATCTTGGTCAATGTGGTAGCTGATGTCACCAACCAATACCGGAATTCGCGAGCTGACTGTTTCGGGGTCATCCTCGTCATCCTCTGGTTCAGGATCCTCTGGTGCTGGTTCAGGTGCGTCAGGACCGAGATCTACCGCATCATGAGGTTCAGGCTCAGCGACGGTTTGCTGATCTTCCTCAATCAGTGGATCTTCGTTTGCGGCCGTCTCAGCTTGTTCAAGTGAACGATTGATCACGTCGCTGGGGACCTCCCATGGAGACTCCTCCTGGCGCACTGTGCGATGGAACCTTCCAACTGAGAACAAATCTGTGAAGCACGTTGCACATCGTGACAGGCATGACGGTGTTTGTTGTGGGCACCAAGGGCAAAGTCGATAACGAAGGTCATGATCTCGACGGCTTCGGGCTTGCTCCATTGGTGGTGTATGTTTGATAACGAAGTTGATGGCGTCCTCGTAGAGCCTGTTGTAGCGTTGCCAATCAACGGTACTCCAGTCGACGCCAGCGTAATCTCCGAGTCTCGCCACGAATTGTTCCTTGGCTGCGTCGTGTGGACCATTCGGCATTTCGCACAGCAGTTCCATAAGTCTCTCGGTCGTCCTGTTTCGAGTAAACTCCTTCGCAATTGGTGACGTGCTGTACTTGGTACAAATTTCGTCTTCCAACTCATATTCCAAGAGCTTATCCACAAGGTCATATCCGCGATGACGTCGATCGTCGGGTACGCAAAGCCATACTTCTTTGACGAATCGGAAAGGAATCGGGTTGCTGCAGACAATGATGCCGCTTTCGGTAATCCTTCCTCCAGCTCTGACGAGGTCGATGATCGGAACGTAGAGCACGATTAGAGGCAGCGATGTGACGATGTGTTGACGCTTGACCTAACCCTCGTTACTTCGTTCCTGGTATCCAACGGCGCGAATACCCCCCAGTGACTGTGTAGTCTTCCCGATGCACGGCGGTCCTCCATGAGATCCCGGCCGGCTTTAATACCTCCTTCCATGATCTCCTTGAGGTTGTAGCACTCGGTTGCATGGAATGCACCTTGAACGGCATTCGCGAGGGTATTGCTGATAGACATTGCGAACTTGGACGGATCAATCTCCACGCCGGTGATCTCCGGTGTCATGGTGTGTCCACTTGTTGCTCGGATTGCCCAAGGCAGAACCCAGCCGTCGCACAAATGTATCTCCTCGTCGGACACGCGCCTGGTGTGGTCGGATAGCTGAAGTTCATGCCGTTGCGTAGCTCCATGAGCGCCACGCCTGGGCATAGCTTTCGCCTTTGGACGTCTCGAGGAGGAAGAAGCAATGCTTTCAACGTCAATGCTTTCAACGTCAACGTCCATTGCTGCTGCCGATGCTTGTCCTTCACGATCGGTTCTCCCTTCCGTGGTCTCCTGTAAGGATAGCACCGGGGGAAATGATGTGATAGCCTTGGACATGGCCTCGAATGCTTGGAAGATAACCCGCTTCATCTCAGAGTTGCTGTCACAGTTACGGAATCCATGATCTGAGCTTCCGCATAGGACACATAGGTTCTGAGGATTGTCGGTGTTCACTTCGAATGATCCATGCATGAGGACCCTTGTCGCATCCCAGGCTCTTGCCCTTGCTATTCTCAAAGCATCGTCTTCGACATTGTCTGCATCGCCTTCTGGTTCTTCATGATCCATGCGAACATCTTCCTGAGGTAGTGTAGCTGCGTCTACACCTTGCGCGAAGTCATAGTGAACCTCATCAACATGCTCCTGCTCCTCGTCCATACCGACCCTCCCAAGGAGACGCCGGTCAATGGCGGCCGAAGGCACAGCAATGAAGCGTGGTTCGTCGCGAATGATTGCAATGATCTTTTCGACATCCTTTTCCACCCTTTCATCCCCGGTCGGAGGCTTCCTTTTCTTGGGTTGTCTTGCTGCCACCAACTTGATGCTCTCTTTGGCCGAATACAAGTGAAAACACCTCTCGATGCCACAGATGCACGCGTCGATGTCCTGTGGACTTCCCCAAGCCTTGAACAACATAGGGTATCGGGGGCCGAAGGTCTATAATCCCAAGGCCAATTCGAACACGTCGCCCAGGAGTTCCTCCGCAGGGTTCTCGCTTCCTCTGAACAATTGTTCGTTCTCGCTCTTGTGGAGTCAACAATGTCTTCATGAAGCCTGCATACGCGGCGTTCCCTGCATCGTAGTACGCGATGAAGCAAAGATTGTTCTGTGCATCTTGTGCTCTGTCCCACGCCAACTGTCTTGCTTTTCCCCACGACGCGTATGCCACGCTTGTTGCAATGGGGCATCGAAGGCCGCCGTACGAAGACACCACCTTTCCCACGGACATGTAGACGAGAGGGCAGCATTTCTTGATATACTCAAGCAAATCATCACCCGGTTTCGCCTCCTGAAATTTCTGAACGTAGAGGTACCTTGCACATGCCAGGGCATACGTTTCGCTGTCACGCATTTCCCTGTAATCTTTGATCTTGTAGAACGAATTGTAGAGGGCATTCTTGTATGCGCAACCCATGCACCGATCTGGAAACTGTGGTCCTGATGCAAACGAAGTAGAGTCCCGGCAAAAGACACTGGCTCTGTTTTCTTGTTCGCACCTTTCGCAAAAGAATGTCTCCGTCGTTGCCCACGCATTGATGTCTGACGCGCTGTAGTCATCGATCCTGAACCACCTCTGCTCATCAGAGTACGATGGCTCCGGAATGCTCAGGGCAATGTCGAAGTTTTGCCACTCCACATCAGGACGTCTGACCAAGTCAACACGCCTGTTCTCCTCTTCGATGGCACGACGTTTATGAAGTGGAATCCAAGAGTTCAGATTCACCGAGGAGGAGACATGCACCTGTGTATTGTCAGTGCATATTTCTGTGAACCGCTTGATGCCAGTGGTTTTCTGGTGAAGCATCTTCTCCCAGGTCCCCAACTGCTGCGTGTTCAGAAAGCAAGCTGCAATCATCTTTTCACAGAATATCTGTTTCTCGTAAACTGCGAATCCTCTGTGACGGTGTCTCTGCGGTTCGTGCTCCGTGATCTTGTCGACGCTGAACAGGTGTGACCCTGACTGGCTCTCTTTCAACGAGCTCATTATTTTGCACCAAAAGGAAGAGCCATGAACCACGATACATCCTCGGAAACGTAGTTGAAGAGATAGGTAAGCGCCCACGGCGTCATACCCTGCAAAGTTCTGCCTTTGATCAAGAACTCTATGTGAAGCTGCGAGAAAACGCCTATCGTGATTGATCATCACGATGGGAGGCCTGGGAACCAAGCTTAGGATCTTGTCGAAGTGTTTGATGTAGACATCCTTCAAGATCCGTTCCATGTTCTCCTGCGCTTGCAAGGATGACTCGTGTAGCGGCACCGCAAGGTTCTCATGGACAATGGCTTGCAGGCATAGGTGAATGTGTATGGTCACCATTGACCTTTGTTCCTGTGGCATCTTTTCGAGATTGTCAATTAGGTTGCTGAAGACCTTTTGCGTCTCGGAGAAGTTAACCACGGTGCTGATCGTCGGCGAAAACCTGACAAACTGACCCCACCCTTTGCTCATCATCTCGTTCTGAAGTGGAAAATGTGTTGCTCCGTTCTTGGCGTACAACTCAAAGTCGGTACTCAAGATGGTAGGTTGTGACCGTATCGTTGTGGCATCGGGACTCCCACCAACGGAAAGCTTCGATCGCATCTCTTTTGCTGCTTCAATAGCTTGCTGTCGATGATGGGCGACTTCCGCTTCATGTCTTTCTCTGTCAGATGGCATGATGATCTCCCTTTCCGCATCAGGATCGATGAGGTCCTCCTCAGTGTTGACGAGAGCCGCGACCGTGAGCATTGCTGGCGTAGGTACGTTCTCACATGGATGCAAGTCGCAACCATGATAAAGCCTGGAATACATCTTCAACCAGTCTGTAGTTCCGAGCTTCACGTAAACCTTGAGCGCCAAGATGAGACACCTCCGGTTGTGCCATGAGCAGTACAACTTGGCCCTGCAAATGGCTGTATTCTCCTTCGAAAAGCAAAAGATGTACTCCGTGGTGCCCTCGGGATAGGGGACTTCTGCCCATTGAACCAGGGATTCTTCTGCCTGAGGTGGTTGCTGTGACGATGAGGAAGAACCTGCTGGCTGCCCCAAGGGCGCGCCGAGCTAGGCTGACTCCCTTGCTGTCCAGTTTCGTTGGGCGCGTCTCCCATCCTTGCCCTCTTCGGTCCATACGCTGGAGTTGCCTGTGGAGTCGATGAAGGTGCCGACGCTGCAGCTGCAGCTGCGTCTCCCCAAGGTACGTCCCCCCGTGGATCATCATGCGAAGGATGCTGAGGACCTTGTGGGATGTTCTGAGTGCGTGGTCTGGCTTCTCGGATGATTCGTCCAGTGGCATATACCCATTCCGGATGACGTGAGGGATTCGGTGGAAAATTTCTGTCGCCACTTCGCAATGCAACCGGTTTCTTCGCACGGTTCAACTCGTTTTCCCAAACCTCAAAGGCTTTCCTCTTTATGACACAATCCTTTGTGAGTGCTGCCTCGACAGACAACTGATTCCACGACCACATCAAGCAAGCTTCTGGAAAGTGCATTCCTCCTTGACTCTGAGGTGTCGACGCCAATTGTACCTGTGCCTTGGCATAGTCATACGCCGTTCCCTGGACATCGTTGTACACTTGGGTCGTCCAAATGTACTTCTGGTGATCCTCCACCTCGTCGTTGTACTTAACGTACTACTACTACTACTACTACTACTACTACTACTAGTACTAGTACTACTACTAGTACTACTACTATTACTACTACTACTACTACTACTACTACTACTACTATACAACGTCAACAACAGCCGCTGCACCATGCATGTACACACGTATACATGTACAAACACAGACAAAGAGCCGCGCCTGTGTGCTACATATCCGGTGTTCTCACGTGCTCGCTCGCTGTGAGTGTCTGGGTTTGGCAGACCAGCACGAAACAACCCTTTCCCACAAAGCTCCAAGCAGAAACGATAAGATCTGGCATCCTGCATGGCTAATGACCTTTCTGACTTCTTCAAGAGTTCGCCTAAATGCACCCTACCCGCTCCTAGTATGGAGGGAGACCTCCTCAAGTCAGGGGAGAGAGTCGGGGATGAAACCAGACCAATGACCTGAAGTCTCTCTCGCAACGACGTTGGCGAGGATGGCGCAAACTGCTTTTGCAATCGCAGCGTCCTGCATGGGTTCTAACGATTTCGCAGCACGCCACGAACAAGGGGTGCTTGCTGTGGAAAGGCATAGATGGAAGAGCAGAAGTGCCGAATTATCCAGCCAAAGGACGGGCATCTGGGGGAGTGACCCTCTTCCGTGGGGCCGCTACATTTCCGTTGATCAGCAGAATTGCTGTCAAAATGCTGAGTAGGTGTGGCGTAAGAGCCCATGACCCCATCTCGACTTGAACGGATCATGCTCGTGGACAACACCAGTGCGTGATCACCAAGCCGGGACTCGAAAGAGTTGGCGCGCGGAGAGCTGCCACTAAAGCACGACGATAAACATGCACATGTTAAAGATGCATGAGGCCGTCTGTTTCTGTCTCAACGGTTGAACCCAAAAACAGTTGCTAAATCGAGTATGCTGATAACAACCCGTCCTCGATCCACCTCCGGAGGCATTCCAGGCAGCACTGCACGCCCTGTGCGTGCAGCAAGCATTCTGGCACTGAAGCTAGGGGCTGGTTGCCCAAGCAGGAAACCACTAAATAGACAAGACACTGCTGCGAGTCGTTGGGGCTCCGTTGAACCGTTCAGTTGCCGAGATGCATGTATCGCTTTGCTTGAGTGCTCCCCTGGCATTGATTTGTTTCTGCAATCCCACGCCTTGATCTACAGGGTGGTGCCGAGGGTGATACATTCAGAATTCAAAGCCTTCATGTTTGTCGTCATCATCCGCATTCTTCGTCTCATGAACATCGTCATGACCATAACAGTCCGTGACGGTAGTTCAGCAGCAGTGGCGGTAGTAGTAGAAGTAGCAGGAATAGCAGCAGCAGCAGCAGCAGCAGCAGCAGCAGCAGTCGTCGTCGTCGTCGTCGTCGTCGTCGTCGTCGTCGTTGTGGTTTTGGTTGTCGTTGTCGTTGGCGTTCTTGCTGTTGCTGTTGCTGTTGCT